AAAAAAAAAAAAAAAAAAAAACACATCTTAGTAAAACCAATACCTTCTCAGCTTCGCATCGAAGCTAAAATACAATTTTTTAAGCTTATTGGATTAAAGAATTTTTAAATTATAAACAACTTATAAAATAAAATAAAATTAACTCTCAAAATCAAAGCTTCATAACTTCTAGCTTTTGCGTATTTTTTTAAAGATTCTAGAGATGTCTGTGTATGCTTTAAATTTATTTTAAAAAATCAATAAGCTAAATACGAAATTTTGTGGTGCATATTTTTTGTGTTTCGAGTGCTATTTAATTCAGTAATAGAGAAAAGTTTTTGGAAAGTTAAAAAACATTACATAAACATAAACATTTATTTTCCTTATAACTATTGTTATAAAGAATATATAAATAATTTTATGTATTAAATCTTTATATATATTTAAGAACTTTTTCTTTATAACAAGAAAACATTTTGGGAATAAAATGGTTAAAAGGCTTCGGTACATTGTATCTGAAATCATTTGGCTTGTGTTTAATCTTCTCACAATTTAAGATAAAAAAAACTTAATTTTTTTTCTACTTTGTTTTAAAGATCGCTGATTTCAAATTTTTGCGTTTTTAAGAACCTTAATTTTTCTCCTCTGTATGTTTGGATAGCCTCAGTTATTATTTCATAAATAATTAATATACGAGTTTATGCAGGAAAAATTTAGGTAATTTTCTTTATATCATTATCTTATAAAAAGCTAGTTAGTTGAGTATGTTACCATTTGAAAAATTGATATTGATATGAACATTTGAAAAATTGATATTGATATGAACATTTGAAAAATTGGCAACATCCTTATAACGATGTTGCCAATTTTTCAAATGTTCATCCCTTATAAGAGATGAACATCAAAAATATTAATAGATCAATTAAGAAAAACATGAAATTAAAAGAAACAAAAATAAAATTATTAATAACATATTTATTATCTGATTAAATAGCGATTCTACGATAAAGCAATAATCTTATGCTTAAATAATGCTGCATATTTTCTATAAATTAGTATTAATTGTATTATAAAATAATTTTAGTACAATGAAATAGACTAATATATAAACATTTTTTAGCACATTATACCACAAAGTGTTTAAAAAAACTGAAAGTCAATAATGTATTACAATAATAAATCAACTAGTAAATGTTAAATAGTTAAAGTAATATCTTTTCAATAAATGGATTAATTACTTTTAAAACTGTACTCTATAGTGCAATTTGTGTTGTCATAGAAACAGCTTTATGTACACAAACGTAATAAAAAAAAACTTTTTTTTTTGTAACGTTATCGCTAAAATCACATAATTCTCTAATTCATACAAAATAAAAAGTAATTTTTATTAAAATGGATTCAGCTCATATTAAAAGTAAGTACAATACCTATGACAGTGAAATTTTCTCGCAATACGATTATCACTTGGATGGAATGAAAGAAGATGCAGAGGAAATTCTTAGGCAAACATTAAGGTCATCTTATAGTAGAAGAACATCAGTAAGTGGTATACAAATAAATATAGTAATTTATTTATAAAAATACATATGATCAGAATTATTTATCATTCGTACAATTTTAGATGACTACCAAGACTCCAACGGGACTTCCATTGCCTTTTACTACAACTCCCGTAAGTTTTAAAACAGTAATAACTAATTAATTAATTATTGTATTTATATTAAACAAACGTTTGAAAATGTGTTCTGATATAATTGAATTTTTACAAATAAATAATTTTTGTTTCAGCAAATAAAAGATCCACAAGCACTGATGTTGAGACCAAGTAGTTCAAGGAGCGGATCTGAAATGTCAAATAGACCAGCTACTGCAATAAGGGGTGCAGGTTATACGTCACATTCATCAGCGAGTTATGATGTTCTTAATCAACCATCGAGAACTTTAACCGTTATGCCTGAACTTAACAAAGAAGAAAGGTAATCTGAAATTAATCTTTTGTAGAATGTAGTTATTTGTTTATAAGTAATTATTTTTTTATAGAATGGAAGATAAAATAAAAAAACTAGAAAAACGCATTCACGATTTAGTAGACGAAGCTTGCTTGGCAAATGGTGATCCAAAATTAGGTTTGGAGAAAGCTAAAGATGCATCTAATAAAGAAAGAAGTCTCATTAGAATGCAAGAGCAAGCTGGGCTAAATGATTCGCACAATATCGATTTGACATTTTTGGTAAACCATTTAATTTAGTTTTATAAAAACTAGATTATGTGATTTTTTTAGGCGATTTTAAATTGGTTTAGATATTTTTCTTAGGTTATATGTTAAATTTTACATTTTTAAACAAATAAATGGTGTCGGTTTGGCACGCTTATTTACCCAATGATTGTCAATAAAGAGTGTTATTAAGGGACCAAAATGGGTCATTTTGATGCAATAAAAATAAGTTAGTTTTAAATAGAGAACGTATAAAAAAAAATATTTTTTCGTTTAATATTTTAATGTATTAAAACATTTTTTTAAAATTATGTCCACCTTATTGAACATTTAAACGTTATAAATTTTTTATGTTTTTAATATTAAAATGTAACACAATTCTTTTCGTTTTATATTTTATTACAATTTTACGTATTTAACGTAATAGGGATCGAAACATAATTTGTTGATATAAGCAGTATTAATACAGTAAATATAGTAATATTAATATATTAATTATAAGGCGAGGAAGAAGAAGAAGAAGAAGTATTAATATAGTCTAATTACTACTTTTTTCCTAACAGATTTTGTTCAAAATATAACTTCTAAAAATAATTTATTTTTGTCTTAATAACAATTGTTTTACATTATAGTTGTACTTTGTTTAACAATATTTTACCTTTGATGTCGCATATTTTTTGTTTCTCAATTTTTGATTTAGTTTTGACAACATATTTCGTTTTAAACTTTATAATTATAATGTTGTTCATTACGTTTTCTTGGACTGTTTTTAAATTAGATTCTAAGAGTTTTATAAGAGTTATTTCAGTAATTAAGTTAAGAACCAGATTGATTCTGTAAAGATAAGTATTGTTAACAAATTTAATTATTTAGGTTCTATTTACATTGGGTAACCAGTACGCGGCTAATGAGATGTACATCGAAGCTCTGAATACTTATCAAGCAATAGTAAAAAATAGATACTTCCAAAATGGAGCTCGACTTCGTGTAAATGTGGCTAATATATACGTGAAAATTGGACAGCCCGAAAAAGCAATAAAAATGTATAAAATGGCATTGGATCAAGTTCCTAATACTAACAAGAGTTTTAAGTAAATTATAGTTTATAAGTAGATTAGCATCAAATTAAATTAAGACAACCCCTCATTCTGCGGGTTGCCTTGTAAAAAAATGTATTACTCAATGCATTTACATAATTATAATATTTTTTTAGAAGAGCAATTACTCACAACATAGGTATAGTATTATTAAAGTTAGAAAAATATGAAGACGCTTGTTCAAATTTTGAATACATTATGCATGAAAAACCAGCTGTAAAACCTTGTTTTCACGCAATTTTATGCTACTACATGTTAGGGAATAAAGAAAAACTAAAAATGTTATTCAAACAAATGTTGGAAATCTCTTTAGATGTAGATTTTGAAGACAAGTATGCGGCACATTTGGTATATATTTGTGATAATAATAATATTGAAATACAAAGAGTTTTTTTTGGTTTTCTTTAAAAGCCTATGATATAGAAACAGAACCGTTTCTCCTCTGAATATAAATGTGGTATGAAATAAATAATTGATAAAAATCTTTCATAAAATAAACTTTTATCATAGTTGTAGAATAATCAGTTAAATATATTAAGAGTCCAGTCGGATTGAAAACGCATACATTTAGGATCTTGTGTAAATAAATAACACATGTTTTTTTATGAATGTATTAAAGCTTTTAATGGATTATTGTATTATTTGAAATTATTTCGTTAAAGTGATTCAATTTCTTATTTATTAATAAATTCAAATACAACATATGTCTCTTTTTCATAAGAACTGTGGTATTATATGAACGTGTCATCAATGACCTAAGAGACCACTGTTGATACTTAGTAATATTTTAAATTTAATTTATAAAAAAACTTAATTTTTTTTTTTTTAAGCTCACATACAATTGGATATAAAGCGAGTTGTCTTTACGTTTATTTACGCTTTTTACTTATGAAATACTTATTTTAATCTTATGATATTATCCAAACAATATTATTATTTTTATTTGCAAATTGAAAATCCCAGCTACGCCCTTTTTTGGCTGCTATTGTCTCTCTCTTTCTGGAATAACTAGTTACGATGCCTGTCAGCGATACTGTTTATCGATTTATTACAAATAATAATGTATTTTCAAAAAAAAAAATGTTATATTATATCAATTTTTTTTTTAAGGATGACCCTGAAGCAGCTTTGCTAGCAGAAGCTATTAAATCAGATGAGTTAACTTTATATGAAAAACGATTAAAACAGAATTTTGAAAATATTGTTTTAAATGCAGCACATCTAATATCATCAGTAATCGAAGAAACGTTTAACGAAGGTTATTTGTGGTGTTTAGATATCATTAAAAGTTCAAGATATTCTTATTTGGCTGGTCATCTGGAGATAAACAAAGCCGTTGGATTTTTATATCAAAATAATATCGAATTGGCAGTTGATACTTTAAAAGCTTTTGATAATAAAGATAGTAAAGTGGCAAGTGCGGCTGCTACCAATTTATCGTTCATTCATTTCCTAGTGCGTATAAAAAATAATAGTTTCATACAAACGAAATATTAACATATTTAACGTATTTAGAAAGGTGATTTAGAACAAGCTCATAAAACTTCAGCAGCAGCACAAGATGTTGATTCTTTGAATGCCTTAGCTTATGTCAATCATGGTAATTGTTATTATGCCAAAGAAGATTTTTATAAAGCTAAAGAATTATACACAAGGGCTTTGGACCAAGATCCATCATGCTCGGAAGCAGTTTATAATTTAGGATTAGCTAACAAACAGCTCGGTCTTATAGATGATGCCATTGATTGTTTTCAAAAACTCCACGTGGTTATTAGCAATCATCCAGAAGTTATTTATCAGATTGCATCGCTAAATGAAATGATTGGTGATTCGGAACAGGCTATTGAATGGTACGTATAAATCTGTGGTTTAGATTGTAAAAGTCCATTAAAGAGTTTTGGCAGAATAATTTTAAAAAACCATCATTTATTTTTTGAGATCGACTTTATAAGATTGAAGTTAAAATTTACATAACAATAAAAATAAAATAAAAAATTGAATTAGAATATTTTTTTGGATTTGAATAAAGCATAGCTTGTATGGCTTCTTTATGTATTTACGCTTGGCGTTAATTATCGTAATATTTGTCTAATTAAGTCTCTTATAATATTGTTTTGTTCAACATTAGGTATTTGCAACTTTTGAGTATAGTACCGGACGATGTAGGTGTTCTACAAAGGCTTGGTGATATTTATGAAAATATCAATGACAAGCAACAGGCTTATCATTATTACTACGAGGTATTAAAGACATTATATTCTTGTAATTATAAATTTATACTAACATGATTGATTTTATAGTCATATAGATATTACCCTTCTAATTTGGAAGTCTTAGATTGGTTAGGAGCATATTTTGTCGAAATGCGAGTACCAGAAAAAGCTATAGACTACTTCGAACAAGCGTCCTTAATGCAACCTGCTGAACCCAAATGGTTGATGTTAATTGGATCTTGTTATCGTCGTGTTGGCAATTATCAATTAGCTTTTCAAACTTATAAAGACGTGTTAAGAAAATTTCCAGATAACATTGAGTGTAAGTTTAATCCAATATTGATTTTTTTAACTTACTTTTTTTGGAGATTTTTCCAATTTACGGGGGAAAAAAAAGTCATTTAATAATAAATATGATCTAAAGTGTTAAAATGGCTTCAAAAAATAACAAAAATGTCTTAAAAATCGAAAAAATAAGTTTTATTTTTTAATTCTTCATAATATAATTCAATTTATGTTATGAAGAAATATGTGCTTGTAGAATATCGTCTAATATAATTCTAAAAAAATGCAATATGCAATGATAATTGAGCTCTACTTTTAAATGAAGAGAATCTAGATAATGGCAATAACTAACGTACAAAATTTTTTTTCCCTTTCCTCGCTATTATTACCAAATAGGTACTTAATTTTTAGACTTCAAGTAAGTAATTTTTGATCGTTTAATTTAGGTTTGAAATTATTAATAAGGATATGTACAGACTTGGGTCTTAAAGAAGCTTCCGAATACAGTGAAATGTTAAGAAAAACGGAGAAAACCAAAGATATCAGGGAACGTATAAGCACAGCACGCACTACTTATCGCAAGACAATGGAAACAAGAGGTGGTACAGGATTAGCAACTTCAACAATTTTAAATAAAAGTCAAATTGAGTATCCCCAAAAACAAAACAAAACAGGAGAAACAAATATTTACATTCATGATGCATCAAAAAATGATGAAATTTCTCAACGTCCCAGAACTGCAAGGGGAGGAACACCTATGGTTGGATCATTAACGCCATTGATAAGCAAGTATGTTCAAAATGGCGAAAGTGATATTAATTTGTATGAAAGAAATAATACAATAGGTATTTAAAAAATTATTTATCTTTAGTATAAAAATAACTTTACATAAAATCAACATTTTTTAGAAACATATGATGATCCAATGGGTCCAATACAAAGACCGCTTACATCAACAACTAGACCAATTACATCTTTAGAAAAAGAATTTGAAGATGAAGAAGTCGTAGATCTCTTACCAGAATAATAATAAAATACTAAAATATTAACAGTTTAATTTAAATATAATATAACTCTATATTAAAATAAAAAAACAAAATAAAATGTTTTAAAACAAACAATAACTGAATAGCCATGACATCCAACCTTGGGTTTGCTTTTCTGAATTCTTATAATTGGTTTCTATGTTTAATTGGTCAGGTGATAATGAATTATTTGAATCTCTGCGCCTTCGAGCCAATTCTAAAGCTGCTTTTCTTTGATCATTAAAAAATGAGGGCATTCCTTGACAATTAAATTGATTATATACAAGTGTTACTATCTATTAAAAACAGCTGACTAAGAAACTCTAATTTTACCTTTAGATTGATACCATGATGTGAGGTAATTAGAAACTGTAACACCAGGATCATCAAAATAGGTAATAGAAAATTCTACACCAGCCTAATAGAAATAAAATTTTTAAGTTGAAGAATAATACAACAATAATATAATAAAATTAAAAACTGACTTTATCAAAATCAGTTCTTGGTTTAATTACAATGTATGACCAATAGTTTTTAACTCTCCATTTGCCGGAATACTCAGGATAATCTGGATGTTCAGTACTTTCACACACAATAGACATGATTTTTTCTTCTTCATCAATCCTATAGCGACGTTTAAATACATAATCTCGGTTTTGAAACCATTTCTAAATAATAAAATGTATGAAAATTCTTTTATCAAATAACTTTATTTTATATAATAAATAATTAGGGTTGTGAATTTAATGTACTAAGAAACCATTAGAAAAGTTTGTAAATAATCACTAAAAACTTACAAAATATATATATTGTTGAATTTAAGAATATATGCTTTTATTTTGATTAAACTTGTATGACATTGCAAAACAAAAAAAAATTAAAAATGCATTAAAATTACAGCTCTATTGATAATTCATGGAAAATAAATGTTTCAAGTTATTCCTGTTCTTAAAAACATAACTCAAAAAAAAAAAAAAAGAATTATAATAAATTAAATTTTAAAGTCTCTCTTTTGAAAATATTAAATGACATTAATAAAAATTTTCTAATTTGAAATTTTGAATTTTGTTTCTATTCATGCCAATAGATGTTATAATGATAACTTCATAGTTTTACTAAATCATACGGATTTTATTTTATGATATAAAGGTACTGAATATCATTACTGTATTAGTATTAATTTATTTAAACCAAAAAATAAAACCTATTTTAATTTTAATAATAAAATTTTTAAATAGCCAGTTTATAGTTCTTTTATAAAAAAAAAATTTTTAATGGGACGATAATAATTTTAGACCGAGTAATTATTGAAATACAGGCATTTTGATATACAGTGTGGGTAGGTAACGTGGGTGGAGTATGCATTAAAAATATAAACCATTACAAACTGTACCCATCTGCATTACATACCCACTTTTTGTATTGAAATGCTTATAATTCAATAATTGTTCATCTCAAACTTGTTTTATTCATTTTTGTAAGAACAATGCTAAAAAATTGGCTACTTTGAATTTTTGAAAAATTTTATATTAAAAAAAAATATATATATATATTATAACAAAATGTTAATTGTATGAAAAGTTATAATAGTTGTCAGTTGGATCTCTTCTATTCTGTATAATATATTTGTGCGACAGAACAAAAATTATGTTGTAACATTTTTTTTAATATTAAATTTATTGCTTTTATTAGTAGTAATGTTTAATATACTTCATTGTTAGCTTAAGAAAAAATATATAAATACTAAAAAAAATAAATTGTAACCTTAAATGTTAGCAAAAATTGTTCATATTTTTAATTTTTCGGCTATTTGTGTTGAAAAATAATTACTGTGTACCTAAAATTAAAAATTATAATTTTTTTTAATTATTAAGTAAATTACCGGCCAGCGAAGTTCCCAATAAATTAAATCACTACAGGTAAGAGGCTCACTATCTAAAATATTGAGATCTACTGACATTTTATCCCATTCCTTTCGATATTCTAAATCAAGTTGAACTTGCATGAAGTCTAAAGCAGACACATCATCGAACCATCCATGAACTAAAATAATTAAATTCAATATAGTTGTTATATGTTAAAAATTTTAATGGTTTGATGCAGAAATTCAAATTAATTTGTAGCTACCAAAACATTTAATGTATACATGATTATTTTTTATAAAAAAGGTATTAAAGTTTAAAATACCATCTTTTATGCTATCTTAAATTAATTAATAGAATACTTTCAAACTATTGAAGCCATTAATATTCAAAACCCACACTCAATTATGCATAAATAATTTTTAATTATATTTTCAATAATTTTTTCAGTAGTTTTTGAAAAAAAAAGGTATACTTTTGAACGGTAGTAGACAAGACAAAAAAACACTCAAAATATTATCATAAGGGCTACTATTAATAAAAAAAGGGAAAGTTTTTCTAACCTTTATATACATATAATTTTTGATCCGGATAATCAACATTACATTTTCTCCAAGCCTTGAAATTTTTATGGGTAGAAAAAGGTTCCCAACCATTTTCTGAAAATTCAAGAAATGTATACTTTAGTATTAAATCTGACTAAAGAAAAAACTATAAATATAATATAAATTTGTCTAAATTAAATTGATTTTATTAATGGATAATTATATAGAATGCAGGTAAACTATTAATAATTAAAAAATGTTTAATAAACATATTCATTTGAAAAAAAAAAATGATTTTGAGTGTGAAAAAGTTTCTTTTTTATACATTGAATATGAATAAGTTAAATTTTTTAGTGAATTAAAACTTTTCAACCTTGGACATAAATATTAAGAGAAGAGATACATATTATTATTATTATAATACAATTTGTATCAATTACCACACATGTTTTTACATCTTGAGCAATCACAAATATCTATTAAACATTCCCTAGAGTTTTGAATTTTATCAGTTGTATTAATTTTAATTTCATTATTTTGTTTTAAACTTGAAGAATCATGTTTGAAATTTTCGTTTGTTTTATTTGTGTTATGAACATTTGCACTACCAAAAGCATTATTTTGTTCTAATTTATCAATTATTTTAAATTCTTGACCTAATCTAAAATTAAAAAAAATGAATGATTAAATATAAATATTTATAAAGTTACTAAAATTTAAAATATTTAATAATTGATATACATCAATTTTATACTATCATTAAACATATTTTGGATTTTAAATGGATTATACCTAGGGGTTTAATTTTGCCCAGAGAATAAAATATCAGTTACATATTAAGTTATGTCAAAAATGATAAATATAATGAACATTACCTTAAAAGTTCATCAAAACATATCCTTTCATTATACCAGTCAAATGTTAATGGCAACGATATACATAATACTAAACGTTCTTTATGTCTGGTTATTAGTTTTTGGTAATTTTGAATAGAAGGGAACAATTTTTTACAAAGATTAAATTTTTGTTTTTTTGATAAATGTAATGCACATTCATTAAGTAAGGCCACAAAATAGTTATTGTTTAATGAATTTTCCCAATATTTTGCAAAAGATTGATATATATTTATTTTACTACATCTAGATGGAGGTAATAATAAATAAGATTTACAAATGCTACTTGTTAGTGTCATAGTTCTGGTTTCATGATTGATGTATTATTACCTAAAGCAAAATAACATTTAAATTAGTTTATATTAATATTCAGCATGTTTAATATTAAAAAAATAAAACAGGTAAGACAAGCAATATATTACTCAATAGATATAACATAATTTTTCATTTAATAAATAAAATATTCAAGTTTTAATTACATTTTTAAATAAGATTTAAATTTTCAAAAAGTATATTATTTGATAATAATATTATTAAACTTACAAAAAAATTGATAATTAATGACCTAAATAAAGATAATTTTTAAAAACGTTTGTTATACTCATCATTTAATTAATATCATTAAGTTAGAAACCATAAATTAATAAAATAAGAATTATGAATAGATTAAAGAATATTTAATTTATGTAAAATAAATTTCTAATAGGCAACACATATAGCTGAAGAGTATACTTAATAGACTAATAAATAGAAGCATGCAAATTTTACTAAATTCTGAAATAAGTCTTACAAGGTTATTGTAACAAACCTGCGCGAAAGAATGCAGACTCTTTATCTGACACAAAATTTTCAAGCTTTAGGTTCTTTCAAGTTTATCATGGGCGGGTCATGTGATTGCTGATAAAACTAAACCGGTGAATGGTTTATCAAATTATTACACTTGGACGATAAAAAATCCAAATCAAAAAAAGTAGTTTTGTTGAAAATTAATGGTATCCTAATATCGGTAAAACATATTTTAACAAAAAAAAGAAATTATATTATATTGTAACTACAATAAACTAATAGTTTATAAAAAGAAATTCAATATTTTCGATCGTAAATATTGTTATATTTTTTTACAATATAATTACAATAATATCATTTTCTTATTATTATTATTGTATATTATTTTATTCTACACCAGTAAAAAATTTAAAATGACACACGTTAAAAATGTAAGTGTATAATAAAAGTAGTATTACTAAATTCATGTCTATAGTGTTTATGAAATATTTTTTTAATTGAAATTATAGTTTATAATATTTTTTGATGAAATTATATATATATTATTTGTTTATCTTATGATAATTTATTTCATTTATACTGTACTCGTGAGCATTTCCAAAATTTTCTGATAAGTAGTACTACCATAAGTATAGCAATATTAATTGAGTTTAAATTAAATTAATTTTTTATTCTCTTTTAGATTGATAAAGTAGTATCTGCTTATCGTCTGGCTACTCAATATCCAGCACTGTTTAAAGCTAGAATACTTGATTGTTCTTTAAATTCAGTTAGTGTTGAATCTGTATGGACACAACGTGTTTTAGAAAGATTATCTGCAACTAAGTACCGTCAAACAGTTATATCTGATTATAAACACTTTAAAGCATCATCTCCACCCAGTGAAATTACAAATGAGTACTGTTATTCAAAATCTAAAAAAGTTAATTTTTTATGTCATGTTTAAATTACCTTATTTATTTAGGTTACTAAGTGCTTATTCAAAATCTAATAAGTATTATTGTGTAATTAGAGAAATAGATTCAGGAAAGGATACAAAACAATACTTAGAAATTTGGTCCAATTTTTTTTTAATTAAAAATTATGATTTAAATACTTTAGATGTACATGGAAAAGTATATGCTGACAGTTAATATTTATTATTAATTAAATTAATTGATTTATTGAAATTAATTTGGTTTTATTATTTTATTAGTTGAATTTGCTACATTACAGTGGTCTCCAGATGAAAGTAAAATTATGTTTATTGCAGAAAACAAAGTTCCAAAATCAGAGCCATTCTACAAACAAAAATTAAATTCGAATGATTCAGAAACTCAAAAGAAAGATTCTATTACACCTGTAAAATAAGAATTCTTGTTATTTAATTCATAGCCGAAAAAGGTTATATTAATTTTATAAATTTAGGGTAATGAATATGAATGGAGACAAGATTGGGGTGAACAAATGGTTGGAAAAGTTTGTCCAGTTATAGTTGTCTGTGATATAAATAAAGATACAATAGAAGTTCTATCAAATATTCCTGATGACATCAATCCAGCAGGAGCTAATTGGATTCCTGATGGAAGTGGAATTGTTGCAATTGGATATTCAGTTGTACCTCGAAAACTTGGACTTATATATTGTACTAACCGACTAAGTCATATATTTTCTTTGACATTGGATGGGAATTATAGTAGGTTTATTTATTTATCTTTTATTCTCAATATTTTCAATAATTTATCTAATATTCAAGGCATATTGAGCTCAACTTCAGAAAATATTTCTGTGAAGTCTCCTCGATTTAATTCTAGTGGTACTAAGCTTATTTGGCTAGAACATTTAGCTGGAGGACCACATCATTCATGCTTTAAACTTATGTGTTGTAATTGGTTAACTAAAGAAGTAATTAGACTCAATATTTTATTTAATTACTAATTATTAAGTTTTTTAAATTTTGTAATTACTCAATTTGAATTGGATCATCATCGGGAAACATTTCTAATGCAATACATTCCATTAAAATCTTTGTTATATTTTAGATAAATGTTTAGGCGATTTGGGGTTTTAAGATTAAGTGAATCATTCATTTATAAAAGTAGTTGTTCAATAAGTTAAATTTTAGGGGAATTTAAAAGATTATATATTGTCTTATACAATTTTGCCTTATTATTATTGTTTTTGATAATTTCAATTATAATTCTGCATAAGCTTTTAAATTATAAATACTTAATTAATTTCTGGCAAGATTGTTTATAAAAGTTTAATCTTTTTAATTTTTCTAAAATATAAATTTTTGAGTTCAAAAATAAAAGATTCAAGTATAAAATTAATTTTTTATAATTTATAAGTGTCTATCATATACTGTGAATTACATTTGTATTTTATGTTCATAAACAGTTTTATATTTATACATATTCAGAATATCTGCTAAGCTTAGTTTGACATCCCTGTTAATTTTTTGTTTTCCTTTTCCATTAATTCTACTTAAACTATTTTTGTGTTAATAATTGTTTAATGTTTTTGTAAAAATTGTAAATTACTATTTTATATTAATTCTATTATAATTTGTATTAAATAGGTCCCTGTCTGTTTGTTATTAAAACAAAATAAATAATTTATACTTTAATGAAAAATAAGTCTACAATGGAGTAATTAAATACTTAAATAATTACAAATCAATTCTCAGTAATTTTTGCCTTTTTAGCTATGAAATAATTAAAATTATTTAAGTAATTGTTAGTCTTAATTTTAATTAAATATAACTATTGTATTTTTCATCAAGTATATCTTTTATAGTATTTTTTTAAATTGTGTTTAAATTTTTTTTTTAGATAACTACAGTAGTTGATATTGAAAATAAATTTTTAGATATTAGTGGAAAGCAATTACCTTTTTATGGGCTATATAATCAAACATTTCCACAAAGATGCTGGTTAAATGATCAAAAAACTATTGTAATCAGTACGCCTCAAGGGGGTTCAATACATACATATGCTATTGATACTGGTAATATATTAAATGTATTATTATATATGAAATAATTAAATTAATTTGAATAATAATGCAATAAAAAATGAAGAAAAGAAATTACTTAACAAGTTTTTGTTGAGTAATAAATTGTATGTTTCAAGTGTGAACATTTAAAAATGACTAATAAAACTTGTAATAAATGTTGAAAATATTTAAAAAATATGAATTACAATAAAAATTGCTTAATGAAAACATTTTATAGAAGTTCTAATATTATTAAAAATAAAAATAAAAATGGTTTGACACTGTGAAAAACTCAAAATACAATTAGTTGTGGTTGAATTCATAGGCGCCCGCAGGAAATTTATCAGGGGGGGGTCCAAAAAAAATTAAATACCAAAAAGTAACATTAAATAAAGTGTTTATTAACTGAAAATTGCAAAATATATATATATATATAACTATTATATATATTCATGAGTCATTAATAAATAAAAATATTCAGATTATACAAATTTAAATCAGATTGGTTATAATTTTTAAAAATGTATTTCCAAAGTCCAGGGGGGGGCAAACGCCCCCTCTTGCCACCCCCTGCGGGCGCCCATGGTTGAATTATACTAATTGTAGCTAGCTAGAAATGATCGGCCCTGTATATATTATTATATTAAATAATTAAACTAAATAATAGCTAAGAAAAATCATTAATTAAATTTTAAATTTTTATTACACAGAATCAAAAACTATTAGCTATCTACCTATAGTCGAACCTTTTCGTGAATCATTAACTGTATTAGATGTGTTTGAAGATAATTTAGTGCTATATAAGTCATCACTGAATAGACCTGGACAATTATTTGTGGGCAAAGTGAATATTATGAATGGTTTTTACGATTTCAAAAATATTAGTGTAAGTGAAATTTCACCATTACATAAACTACCCAACAGTAATGAATTTATTGTTGAGCATGGAATAACATTGCATGGTAAGAATATATTAAATTTATGAAAATATGTACCACTATTATTTTAATATTTAAATCTATTGATAAATCTAATTTAATTATAGATAAACCAACAACCATTTATTATGGTCCAAAAAATAGTAAATGTCCCTTAATTGTATGGCCACATGGTGGACCTCATTCTCAATCAGTAGATTCTTATATAGCTGATGCTGCATTTTTTGTTCAAATTGGTAGATAAAAATGATTATATCATAAAAATAAAGAAAATAATTAAGAATGACTATGGAGTTTAGGTTTTGCTGTTTTATTCGTTAACTACAGAGGATCTACTGGATTGGGTCAAGATTATGTTGAATCATTATTAGGTCATATTGGTGATGCTGATGTTAAAGATGTTTACAATGCTGTTGAAGCAAATCCTCAATGGTCAAATAGGAAACTTTTACTTTATGGTGGATCACATGGTGGATTCATAGTCACTCATTTAAGTGGACAATATCCGGTAAATGTAAAACATTAGTTGATCAAAATATATAAAAATTAGGTTTTTTTTTAAAGTCTCACATTTGTGTTTTTATCATATTGTTTTTTATTATAAATTTTTAATTAAGACTAAAGTAATGTAGCAATATTTTAAACATTTGAGTTAATTCAGATGTGCCATATTTGAGAAATACTACATTTAAAACTATTTTTAAATATAAAAAAATTATTTGGTATAATTAATTATGAAATGATTCAATTACAGGGTAAATTTAAAGCAGTTAGTGCTTTAAATCCTGTCACTGATCTGGTTTCTATGTTTGGTACTACAGATATTACTGATTGGTATGTTTTTATTTTGTAAACTTATAGTACAATCCGTGTTTTTCAGAATAAATTTAATGCTGTGTCGACAAGAAATCCTGCTATAGATATTCTTTCATTACTAAGTATTTCTGATATTCCTGATTGGTAAGAATAAAATATTCAGTAAAACACGGATTTGTAAGTTGATTATTTTCAATGCATTATGTATTGATTAATTACACATATAATTAATAAAAAATAATAGATTCTAATGTATCTTATTAAAAAAAAAGTATTAAATATATGTACATCTTTGTAAAAGAATATAAGATCATTATGTTTTTAATGGTGAATTTACCTAGTTCAGTCAATAATGTGTTATGCATCTTGATACCAGCTTTTAGGGGTTTCATTGTGGTCATACTTTCCCCCCTTTCAAAAAACTTAAGCTGACCCTGGTGTACCTGTTCAAAGGTACTGGTTTTCAATTATGTTGCATTCTGCTGTGTAGGTTTTCTCATACACTCTGGCACAAGCAATAGTTTTTAGAGAAGATGTTGCATATAAATTAACAAATTAATTTAATGAAATTATAATAAAGTGTTATATTTAAAGCTTTAAGGTTTTACTGTCAGATAAATGTAATTTTATTTTAATAATTTTTACTTGAGTGTATAGTTGCTTAAGATGCAATATATCCTTTTTTCAGTTCACTAAACTCTTCCCCATGAAAATTTAAATATCATAGTGTTACTAACTCAATTTGACCAAAAAGTGAGATATCTGATGTTATACCTTAAGCAATTATATATTAATAAGGATTTTTATTCAATAGAAGTTAGAGAAACTTTTGAATTTTCTAATCGACTCCCAAATTATAGACATATCCAAGTTAAATTTTATGAAATTCAATCTTTCAACTTTTCTAAATTAAAAAATTAAAAATTTTGTTATAAATATTTGTCTAACTAGAAACTATGTCATTAGCAACTGTCTCCTTAACACATATCATAATTAACTGACTTTCAGTATATATACTTATTGTTCTAACTTGTAACAGATTATATATTACTAAAAAAAAAAAAAATTTTCACAATAAAATCAATAAACAAATTGTCTTTTAAGTATAATACTTTATTCTTACAGGGCTGTTACTGAAACAGGATACAATTATTTTGATGTGGATAATGTAGAAGATTCTAAGGATATTATAATGAAAATGGCTGATAGTTCACCAATGAAGTTTGCTCATAATGTCAAGGCACCTACTTTATTATTATTAGGAGAAAAAGATTTACGTGTTCCTCCATCTCAGGGAATATCCTATTATCATTTTCTTAAAAAACATGGAGTTGTCACAAAGTAATTTTAAATTTCTGTAGAGATTTTAAGTTTGTTCCTAATTTAATTATTTACATATCATTGTTTTTAGAATATTAATGTATAATGATTGCCATCCTTTAAGTTCAGTATCAGCAGACATGGATAGTTCTATAAATACAGCATTGTGGTTTATCAAATATTCAAGTGATGAATCTAAGTAATGAGTTTAATGACTGTTCAGATATTTTTTCATTTATTGTTTCACAGTAAAATAATTAGTTATATGAAAAAATTTAACCTAATAAGTTATTTTTTAATCTTTTGTACTTGTTTATTTTATTTTTGTATGAATTAAGCACAAAATTTTTTATTAGAGCTCTTATAATTTATACTGTTATAAATACAAAACTATTATTTTTTATTACTCAAAAATAAATAATTATATTATTTTAAATACTTACATGTGTTTATAATTGAATTTAGTTTCAAAGTAAAAAATGATAGTTTTAAATTATTATTCTATTTAAAGCTTAATGTCCTCGTTTAAAAGCTATCCTTGTTAAAAAAGACGAGAAAACTTACATAGTTTAACATAACATAATCAAACTTCAAAACTTACACACTGAAGAACATTTATGACTGAGCTAAATTAATATGGACATTTTCTAAGGAATCAAAGAGGAGCGGCAGTTTATTTTCCTTAGGCTTTATGTTAATAAACTTTTTGTATATATTTTAAATTATAAAATTTCACAAAATAAGATTTTTGGTAATTAAAAAATTTAAAATTTATGCATTAATTAATGTAATGACTATTACAACATCAAAAATATAGTATAAAATGTATCATTACCTCCTACAAAAAAGGGTAGTAACACTATCCTGAAGGTGTACAAATGTGCTCCCTGCATTTAAAGATTACATACGGTTGATAACTAAATAAAGTATTCAGAACCCCACAAATTTGTTTCTCACAAGGCCTTGCGATTTCTTATACTAACCCTGGGTAATAATAACATTCTTACAATTTTTTAGGAGAGCTATTTACCTAAACTTTTAAAGAACATATATTTTCTGTAATTAAAAGTCATTAAAGAATGAAGAGTCACTTATCAGTTTAAATAGGTAAATTAATAAGTAATCAACCAATCTGCGAAGTATTATAACTATCTAAGTTGCTAAGTTTAAAAAAGTTAAGTTTTTTTTAGTGGAAATGTTGATTTTGTTAAAGGTAATTTCAATATTATATTAATTTATAAGTCAATTGAAGTATCATTGGTTATAACACTTCTAAATTTAAAAAAAAATGCATATTCCAAGTCACCCAAAATGTTGAAACAAAAGCACTTTTAGCTTTGATGCGAAGCTGAGAAGGTATTGGTTTTACTAAGATGTGTTTTTTTTGTCTGTTACCACTTTAACTCAGCTCTCACTGAACCGATTTCTTTCAATGATACGTCAAAAGAACACAAATTGTATCTAGTCGAAGACATTACCCTCAAAAATTGAAAAAAATTCCCTCGTTCCCCGTAAATGGGGGAAACCTCCAAAAAAATTACGAATTTAAAAATCGCTAATTTTTTCAATTTTTTTTACTTAAAAGTGCCATAACTTTTTCAAAAATAAACATATCAATATAATTCTTTTTTATATAGATGCATAATATCATTANAATTTTTTTATGAGAAATAATATTTTTTTATAATCCCTTTTTCATTCGACATACTTTATCTTAATTAGGATATTAATAATGAACTAGCAGATCATGTAGCTTTTGGAATAATCCACCATTTTTTTAAAATTAAACACTATCTAAAGATTTGCATCGAAGGGTTTTTTTTTGATAGTGATTTTAATCACTGTCAGATATCATTATACTTGATCCAACTATGCCACGTTACCACTGTGCCGCGACCCCCCTGTGCTGGGTTTTTTTTACTTCAATTTACATAAAATTAAACAACAAACATTTGGTTTATTCTATTTTTAGAGGTGTGCAACAATGTGTAGTTTTTCACAGAAATTAAATATTAATAATGAATCTGTTAGAGTAGTTCCAAATCGTTCCAAGTAATCATAATCTACAGTATAAATTATTGTTTTATGATTTATGACCCAATTTGTGAAAAAGATATATGGTTTTCTTGCAAAAGTATATATATACATTTTCTATCAGAATATTTGCTGATTAAAATAATGAAAAATATGCAATTATGACTCCTTTTGTTGAAGATGGCGATATATCAGAGCATACAGAGTGATTAGCTGAAAAATAAACTAATAAGTATTAATTAATATAATAAAGTTATTAAATAAATGTAATGTTGTAATATAATATACATCTTAAAATTCAATGTTAGGAATTATCCAAAAATAACCATACGTCAGTATATTTTCAATACATATGTTAAATCTTACTTAATTAGTGTGATTTTGAGATATAATACTGATGATTTGTACATAAGTATAACATTTTTATCATTATTTATCTAAATTTTCCAATGTATTGTATACGTTAAAATTTTTTATAAACAATACATTTATGTGAAAATTTGGAATTTTTTAAAGTATGTGAACTAGAGTTGACTAACCATGATGGTGTAATAAAATGTCGTTAAGTTTTAGTTTATAGATTATACAAGAATTGAAAAAGAAAAGTAATATTATACAGAGTAATCGGGTTATCGAAAACCACTCAATTAATTGCAAAATAAGTAAAATATTGGGAAAATGATTTTTGATTTTTTTTAGTTACATATAATTCTTGATTTATCAGCTAATATTTACTTTTTAGTATCATCCCTTATAACGTAAAGAGATGTCAACTTTACTTTTTCATGTGGTAACTTTCTTAAATTAAGAAAATGACTGGTCGATAACAAGTTTTGGACCAGTAATTCAAAAGTTATTTACAATTTAAAGTAATGATTGGAGGTGAGTAGTAGGAACTGCTATTTTTATAACTAGTCATTTATGAAATGTTCATTTAAAATGCACCTGGCATCATCATATACAACATCGATTGCTATAAATTGAAATATTATTATCATCATTATTATCTACTCTACATTATTTAACTTAGAGGGAAGAATATTATAATATGACATACAAAAAAAGTTGAATAATCATATGTATTATGACACCCCTCTTGAAAAATTTTTGCGTACGCTGCTGGTGAAGCTATATTTTTTATTCATTACATTTATTGATCTCTCGATAGAACTTTGATCGAATTTAATGTGAAATAAAAATAAAAATTGTAGACCACTAAATCGATAATAATACGATATAAAAAGTAAGAAATAAATGAGGAATTTGTTGATGGATTTGAATTGTATATATCTTATGAAATGAAATAAAACTATTTTTTACCGCACACAATAATTTATAAAAATAGTATAATAAAATAATAGTATAAAATAGTATAATATTATAATAAAAGATAGGATAAGGAACGAGCATATAAGAGGTGTAGCGTCAATCGTGGATAAGATGAGAGAAAATAAAATTTGATGGTTTGGTCATGTTATGAGGAGAGAAGAATCGGAAGCTGTAAGAATAATAGTTATAGAAATGAATGCTGAAGGAAGAAGAGGTAGAGGAAGACCAAAAAAGAGACGGAGGGATGCTATTAAATGCGATTTGAGGACAGTTAATGTGAGCGTAGATGATGTGGGAGATCGTGTCAAGTGGAAGTTTAGGATAAGGGTGGCCCAAGTAGCTGGGATTAAAGTGAGGAAGAAGAAGAAGAAGAAAAAATTTATAAAAATAAAATAATTTTACTGTGTATTTATATTTATAAAAATAAACAAAATTTAAAAATACTCTCGTAAAATTACGTTTATTATTTTTTAGAGAATATACAGTTCTTCAATTATTTCTTTGAGCATTTTCCTTTATTCGGTCCAATACAAGAAGCATATGACATAATTAAGGGTAAAACATTCTGCTCATAGCTTCCTACAAATAAATGAGCCCATGGCCCTCGGGCCCAAACAGCTACGTCTTCTCCGCCGTGTGTTTCTGTATTCATTGGAACCAAAGATGGATAAAGAGCAAATTTTTCACCTGAAACAAAATACTTTTAGACACTATAATTTAGAATTAACTAAATATTCTAACCGTATTTGGAGTTTTGCTTTATATACGACTGCATCAATGCCGATGGCCCATTAGCATAACTCAGTATTGAATAAGGATTTTCGTCATCATCTACATGTCCTATAATCGGATCTTCTCTAGACGGGTATCCATTGATGGTCATAGTGTGAGAATGATCCGAGGTAACCACAATTAACGTATTCTTAGGGTTCGTCATTGAATCAGCAACTTCCACAGCTTTGGAAAATGCAATCGTTTCAGTCAGTGCCATATGAGCCTAAAAAAAATCTTCGACTCACTTGAGCGCTTCTACATTAAACTATATATCCTGTATCTGAGCTAACAGGTTTGGAAATTTAAACCACCGGACAATATTACCAGATTTTGATGATGCGCATGATCGATTCTACCACCTTCGACGAACAACACATATCCGTTGTTGTTTTTCCGCAACACTTCTATGGCTGCTAGAGTCATTTCACTTAAAGACGGCTCGTCTCTTTCCACTTCCTTAGTACCGGTGTATGACATGTGACTCATAGAGAACAGTCCTGTAAAATTATATAAAAAAAAATACTTTACTACTATAATAACTTGTATCTCTATGTATCTAAATAAAACGTTTGATTGAAACACTCGTTTATATCCGTAGTATTTTTTAATGGGCATTCCTACCTAGAAGCTTATCTACTTCATTCAAATTCAAATAAGACAGCTCAGTTTTGTTTTTAACGTAATTGTAACGGTGTTGGGATTTTATCATCCGCAACTTCCATTCTGCTATCAAATTTCTTCCGTCTTCGCGGTTACCATTTATAATTTTTGGAAGAAATTCTTGACGGCCTCCTCCTAATATTACCTGCAAAAATGACCAAATTATTTTCTCATTGTAACAATGAAATATTTATCGTATTACATCTAATTCCATTCCGGGTTTTTGTGACATCAGTTGTAGAGCGATATCTAAGCAGTCTCCGGGAGCGTTGCTTTCCCAATCCCGGTTGGCCGAATGAGCATAACCACCAGCTGGAGATGCGTGGGTAACTCTATAAAAAGTAATAATAATGTGTCAATAACATGAATTCCTAGCAATTACTTGATTACAATAAAAGAAAAAATTACCGTGTAATAAATCGATGTCTCAATTCAAAAATAATTATATAACTTTTTTACCTAAACCTCGAATTTTTTAGTAGTCCATTTTATAACAATATTATATAGGACCGTGTTTACCTATTATTTGTGGGTGTTCCAATGATAATTTATAAGTAAAGGTAGCCAAATATATTAAGGTTTTTTATATTATGATGTAAAATCTGTATTAAATTATTATGCCTGTAAATTAATTACATACAAACTGTATTTTGGGACATTTTATTTGTTTAATAATATTCTTTAAAAAGTTTTATGTTTTCACTTTGTCAATACAAAGTAATTTAAATTAGAATAAAATGATTACTTAGGCTGAAATAATTTTACATTAATAAATTTAAATTAAAGAACTAATAACTACTAAATATGTTTTTATCGAAAAACATAATAAGCATTTTGAGAATTAGAATTGTTGACGCAATGCCTTTGGGGTCATAAGTTATGGAGACTACCTATCATAATAACTGCTTTAAAAAAGGGTTGTCGAAACCAATTGTAATTGGTTTCGGCTGCAAAACCTCGAATATGATTTTTTATAATTTAATCGTCTTCTCATATTTAATAAGTACACCATTACTGTGATCATTAATTTTATTGACTTATTAATATAGTTATTTATTGAAGCAGGGAGCCAAGGGTTCATTATTATCAGCTAATTATGTATCATTTAACTATATTGTTGTAAAAGTTATAAATTACAAACAACAATAATCATTTTAATTAAACAGAAGTGGCTATATTTTCTGATAATACAATCTAATTATGTTATATTACTAGCAAATTAAATTTAAAAATTACTAAAAACAAACAATTTTTGTAACTGTTTAGCCAAACTTGTAACTATAAAATATTAAATTAAAATCACTCTGCTCTTCAAAAATGGTAGTTATATTATTATACAGTATGATTTTTCAAGAATTATACCTCCCCTAATTATTGTTAATTAATGATTTTTTCATAGAAATTTACAAATTATAACTTTATTTATTTTTACAAATAATTGTATATATTAAGTTACTGTAAGCTCAAATGAGTTAGTGGTAACTTTCAAAAGTTAAATGGGGATCTATTGTTATTTTTTTACTTTTATATGAAAAATAGTCTTAATAAAATTATGACTGGTTGATAATCAGTTTTATATTATTACTTAATAAGTTAATGTAATTTTTAATAATAGGCTGAGGGATGCGCAACGTTGAAAAATTCTTTTATGTTCGTCATATTGCTAAACACTACCCCACTCCTCACTTTTTCTAGATCTTTAAATATTAATATTTCAAAACTGAATATTGACCAGACAAAATATTATCTAGACCATTCTTTATTTAATAGTAAAAAAAAAAAAAAACAATAGATTCTCATTTAACTTTCAAAAGTTACCCAAAAAATCTTTCCTTAGAAATAATTTGTTTCTGCAATAAACTTTATCACGGTTTAAATAAATAAACCAAATTATAATTAGTACATTTGTATGAAAAAATCATTATTTAACAAGATAAATATAGTGCTAATCATTTTTAAAAAATTACATCGTATACTAGTTGTACATAGCATAATAAGTTTATGAGTATGATATTTCATATGAAAATTAGATAATTATTTTTTCAATAATGAAACGATACTGAATAGAAATTGGGATTAATTATATCCCCCTAATTAACCTATTATAGATTTTCATTTTTTAGCAATATTTCTAAAAAAAAAGCTTCAAAATGTATGATAAATTTACCTGGTTGTTGTTACTATTCCAGTGGATTTTCCTGCCATTTGAGCCCATCGTAAAATAGAATCAACTCGATTGTTGGGTTCCAATGAAGAATCACAATCGTTTGGTTGAACGGCACCTGTTACTCCCAACGTTTTCGAATTAGCTTTAACGCCAGTCATGTATGCCGTTGCCGAACAAGCCGAATCGGCTACTTGTTTGTCAACACAATATGTCTACGATAAAATTATATTCGCGAGAAACAAAACAAGAATAAATTTAAGGTTTATACTTTACTCTAGCCAAGCCAGTGTATGGAAATTTTTCAAATGAGAGCGATGAGTTTTTATTAGAAGACATACTAGGTGACATTTGCTCCATATGCACTCTTGCCGCAGTAACTGTTGATAACGACATGCCGTCTCCCAAAAAAAAAATTATGTTTTTTGCTCGACCGACAATAGGACTCTCCAAGACTTTTAATCGACGATTCAAATCAACCATTCCACGTCTCATCCAAAAATTTGAATCTGCACATATTCTATTTTAAAATATAAAATTGAACAAAACAATCCCTAGAATTCTGTGTGAACTTAAGGGAAGTGGAATTTTCAAATACTAATCCAAGTCTTTTGATGTAAGTTCATAATATATATTTAATAATCTTGATAATTATGCGCAAGAGTAAAAAATAATAGTTTGGATATTAATGTAAATGATTTAATAGCGAGTTCACATATGCGCGACTTTATAAAGTTGCATATTTTTTTAATTGCAAGGATTCTTCAAATTATTTATGTAATAACGGAGCTGAAGACAATCTTTGGTGCGGTTTTGAACATTCTACTTACCGTTCTCTAGAATTTGTTGCTGAGGTCGCCTCTTGACCGCGAAATAATTGTCTGGAAAATCAAATAGAACCAATTGATGTGAAACGACCATCAATGTCGCTGCAGCGGGTAGCTATTGCAAAGTGTTGTAATAGCATGACAATTGATATGTAACGATTGACCCCTAAGGCAGTCATGGGTGCGAAATCTTATGACAATATAGGAGACCGTGTCAATGGATATAAGCTGGCGACCTCTACACGACCTCATCTAACCACATCACATGACATATTTGTACGGAAAAATTCATTAAACTTAAGGAAAATTCATTTTTGGAAATTTACAAGTAACTACACCAAAATCTGACATTGCGATTAAATTTTTTTTTCTGTGCAGTCAAAAATAAAAATTTCATTTTAAAACTTTCATGAATTAGTATATTATGAATATGTTTAGACATATCTTAGTAGTAAAAATAATGTTATAATTATTAAAATTTTAGCTATTAATTAAAAAATTCTGTTATTGCCATAATATTGTTTTAATTCTTGTAAAATTATGATAAGTTTAATTCGTTTAAAACTAAACTTTTAATAATATTTGAACGTTGATAAGAATTAGAATTTTTAAATTTTTAGGTAAAAAAGTGGAATAACAAAAAAAAAAAATTTTTCTGAAGGTATTTTTTAAAATATAACTTTTCGAAATTGATAGCCAATGAAACCAACTGAAATTAAATACGTAAAATATTTTCATAATTAATTTTATAGAAATGTAAAAATGTTTATGATCACTTTTGGTTTACCTAATAAATTTATTACGCTCAGAACAAATTTGGATTTATTCACCGTTGACTACGGTTTAATCATTTTTTAAAACTGAGAATAAATTATTTTATTTATAGAAATAATGTTACGTTACAATAACATTAAAAATTGAATATTATTTTATTTAAAAACAAAATATAATATAATCAGCTATGTATTGTAAATGTGTCTTAATATTAGTGATTTACCCCACATGTACTGCCAAATCTTCTATTTGTTAAAATTTAATCGTTTTAGTGTGTATTTTTTTATATAAGAGGATACTCTACAAAGATAATTATTCAAAATGGTCCCAAAATTTAAAAAAAAAATTATTTAATCGGCAAAGTTATTATATTTAATTCCGCATAATTTTATCGTCGAGAAGGTCCTTTCTTTTATAAATCTTGTTTTTTTCGTGTTCGAAAATCACTTTTAAAGTATTTAAAGTAATTCTACAAAATTAAAAGAAAACACTAAATAATTCTCAAATAACATTAATGTATATAACTCGTTTATCATTATATCATCTGTATTGAAGTGAAAAAATGTAATGTTAAACTGGAATCTAGTTTTAATGATTTTTTCAATATTAAAACTAACTAAAAAATATACATTAAAAACACTGTAAGATACTTTTCAAATTAAATATAATAATATTATATTCAATTAGCTTATATTATGAGGTAACACAAATAAAGAAATAATATCCCTAAAACATTTATCACATTAATTCTTTTTAACGATCTTGAATAATAGATTTTGAGTATGTAAATGTTAGCATTTATATTTCAAATTTTACAATGTTTATCAAAACAGTAGTTTGTTTTACTAAATGCACAATTTATTAAATTTAATAAGATTTTCGATTGAAACATGATTTTGAAAAATTAAACATGTTATTTTATAAAAATAGCAATAAAAATAACTAATAATTTATAATAATAATTATTTAAAAATATAATAAAAATAATATAATTATAATAAATTATAATTATAATAAAAATAATAATAATTTATAAAAATAACTTACCATGCAATTGATTTTGCCTTAAATGTCGATGAGCAGTTATTTCTTTGACATTTGTGATAACGTTTGATAAAATAATTAATAAATTAAGATAAAAAATCATATTGGCACAGTGACAATTTAGTGTTGAGTTTTTTTTTCGGAATCCGTGTACCGTATCCGATGTTAGTTTATTGACTGATAATAAAATAGTCAGGTGGTAGTTCATAATATCACTGTTGCGAAAATATAAATACTTTATTTAAAATAACGGTCGTTAATGTAGTTGAAGGATTCAGTTAAAATGGAATACAAGGACTTATTTACCGCATAGCTATTTATGTTGTCAATAATTAAATAAGTTAAAACCTATGGTAACTATTGTACATATAAATAACTTAGTGAATATTCACGTCACCAAATTCATTTAAGTATAAATTATTTACTTTCCAATGAGTTTATTTATAAGAAAAATCATTAATGTGTTAGCAAATCTTAATAACAACTCTCTAAGGATGTGTTTCATCGATTGTGGAGTGTTATATTAATATTTAATTGCCTACGAAATTTAATATTTTTATCAGTCATGGCCATTGGGTAATAATTTTTCATTTTTATTTCATGATGGTATTCTTTATTTTCAACGAAATAAATTAAAATTTAGGATAGACCCTGTTTAATTACAACCCATAATACAAGAGCCTGATCCTCTAGGGGTGTTTTGATATTTTTTAATAAATCCTCTTTTTTCAAAATTAGTAAAAAAAATTATTTAAATTTTATTTCAAATAGTCTTAATTTTATTGTGCGATTTTAAAACAACACTCCATTTAAAAACCACCCTCCAACCTTATAATAATTAATTAAAACAAATACTTCACTTTTATATATTTTTACAACTTAAATTACTTGATCTAATTTACATTGTATAAATGTTAAATGTTTTTTACTTTTAATTTTTTTTAAATTCTAAAAGGTCGCGTCTGAACATTTTTTACGTAAAATGTTAATACTTTTTATCATTATGTTTAAATACACTTTATATTTTTGTACAATCAAATGTGTAAGTCGAACGTTATTTAAATAAAGTACAGAATGATTTCTTATCAAATTCTCTACCTTTTCATTATTTTAATTTCTAAAAATAAACGATAACCACTGTTTAATTTGTTACACTATGATATTGGTTTATAGTTTTATGGTCTCTGAAATGATATAAAATTGTTATTACCTAAAGTATCTTTAGTACAATTGGCGATGTTATATATAAATGTTGTTGTAAATGAGCATTTGGTAAAAGACTGTAGATTAGTAATTTCGTAATAGAATAACAGCTGTTCTATTGTGTATTATCATAACTTTAGTAGTCAAAGATAAAATTTGTTTCACGTTTGAAATTAAATTTAGACGAGCCTTTACGTCTTTTACACGTTTTTTTTTTTGTAATTTATTATTATGATAATTTGAAGTATATCATAGAGAGAAGAATATATAAAAAATGTCCTCACCGATTTTAAACGAAAAAAGTATCATTAGTCTGTAATTTTCAATTATAAAGAAAAGGTTTAACACACTTATGTGATAAGTTGTAAAGGTAAAATTAAGATATAAAACCGATATACATTATGTATAATTTTATTTAAAGTCAATTTCACTTATGACATTATATATGTACTTTTAAAATCTATGATTTATTAAAAATAAGATCAGTTCTAAATAGTTACACCTCTAAAAGTAAGTTAATTAAAAAAAAATATACAATTTTAGGTGGTCATAATTGGAAGACATTGTGATTGTTGTTGCGGCCATGACATAAAATTGTATGATAACAGTTAAATTATGAAATTAATATTTACATATATAGAATTAAGTTAACAAAATAAACAATATTAAGGAATTATAGGACAGTTAAAACCTGATAACAACACGTTCTTAAAATTATCTAACAAATCTATTTCTTAAATTATTACAGTAGGTTTATTAAGTAATGAATTCGACTTATCATTATCAAGTTACATACATTACAAAAATGATTAAACTCTACGTGGTACAATAGGAAAGTTAATCGTTTACATTATTAAATAGAATTCAAATAAATCCTATCAGTTACATTTTATTGTGCTTGGAAAGCATTCTCATTGAAAACGAAATTATGCTTTGCCATTAGGTCAATTGCACGAACCAGTTATCTTGTTGAGCTTTATATTTATAATGATTAAACAAAAATAAAACATTTTGCACATATAATTTATTAAATTAGCAAATAATAACATTAAAAACAATAAAATAATAACTGTCTTATTAAATAGTTATGCACTACCAGCCTTTTTTCTTTCAAATTTAACGATTTTATTTATACGAAATATTACATGGCACAAAGAAAAAATTTGTCATTAACAGTTTAACAAACAATACATGTGCGCACATTATTTCAAAATAGATGATAAATTAATCTTAATGAGAGTTGCTTCTTAATCATATATAAGATTAATTCACAATCGTGCTACCACGGTCTCCACGGCTGTTCGAGGTCAGATTTGTTTTCTTCATTTCTTTGTTTAGTTACTAACGCCAAGGGCAGATCTGATTGGCTGTATGAATCGGAACTATCACAGCTGACCATCGAGTAACACGAAGAAGGCCTGTCGGGCATAGGAGACTCCGTGCCCGACGATTCGGACCTGGTGGATGGCGGAGTAGGAATAACGAGCGATAACGGCGGAGGAGGTGGGGGAGTTTGTTCTGCGGGTCTCGATGGCAGTATCAATGCAATGTCACCGTTGGGTAATCTTGTGGGTACAAGTTGAACACCGCAAGTCGATCCTGCCGAACCCAAAAGTATAGCGTTTTGACTGGAATCCAGGTGCAATTGAAGGTTGGCTGTATCTGCAGACGCCCGCGGTGGTAGTTTAGGACCAGTACCGCTAGACACTTCTTTGTTAAAATAAGTGGTCAAGTGCTGCATCAGTCTGTTGCGGACGTTGGGCTCTAGTCCAGGGAACCGGCTCACTTCGTTTGTGCATTCGGTAAATCCAGCCTTAAACTTATTGGCTACTGACGGATCCGAAACATTTGATAAAGCAACGCCTTGTTTTTGCATGGATTCCAAATGTTTTACAGTCATTTCTAAAATATCAGCTTTTTCTAATTTCGAGTGTCTTGCTGGCTAAAATATTAAAAACTTTAAGTAATTTATGGCCGTTTAGGTCGTAAAAAATTTAAAACTTATACAAAAGTACATACGTCTTTTTTCGTTGCGTCTAAAATGAGCGACTTCAATTCGTTTAGACAATTGTTAATTCTTGCTCTTCTTTTCTTTTCCATAATGGGCTTATTACTCTAAAAAATAAACATACTTATATACATAGATCAATTTTATTAGTTTTCATCATTAATATAGAAAAATGTGTTCGCTTGAATTTCTCAAACTGTTGAGTGTAAGAAGTTTAGGTTGGTAACGCAAAACTCATCGAATACAGCGCTACCCTGCTGCTTAAAAAAAAAAGAGCCAACAAAGATCCCAATTATTTATTACTTCCTGTAACCAGAAAAAGGAATACCCTGAAACTACTATTGGTGGTCACGTATAAATACACAAGTGTACTATTTAAACGGATTCTCGGAATTTATTCAATTTAAGAATTAATAGTATACTTCGAAATTTTGTTATTAATACTTATATAATTTATACATAACGACATTTAAATTACACTCGTGTATATTAAGTTGCCTATGACATGATTTATGCATTACACAAAATTATTTTTATTTTTAAGTAAGGTATTAATTAATTGCTCAGCGCCTTTGAATCAGATCCTCAAAATCGATGATGTTTAAATGATAGAGATAAAATTGTGTTTGAATTGAAAGTAAAATATGTTCTAATGTATATCCTTTCGAGATAATACACTATTTTTTCGAATTTAGATTTAAACATTTTCAACATAAATAATGTTACTTTGTAGACGTTAATTTGAATTCTTAGGGAAATTATGTTCCACATACCATACATTTTTTAATCAATTTTAAGTTCACAGTTCATTAATTGAAGGGCTCATATTACCCTAGTCCTATAATTAAGTTTAAAGTGATATGAAATAATGATCCCATATTTAATGTCAAAAATAATTCTGACACTATTAAAACAATAACTTTCATTAAACAAAACAATATCGTAACTTGTCAACTTTAGAATTAATAACGTAATATTTTGCAATTTGTTATTTTTCAGATTGAGGTATTTATATATTAAACTATTTTATTTGTTCAAATCAACAAATGTTCAATATTATCTATATTAATCAGAATTTTTGCTAAATTACATTCAATTATTATCGGTGAAATCAACTAGATGAGAGAATGAAGAAGAATGAGAATGCGTAGACGGACAAATATATTCCTGTTCGGAATATAAAATTGTATGATAATTTTCCAAATGAATTATCCATTAAAAAATTAAGTTACAATTTATAATGAACCTATTGAACTTTAAACAAATGTTTATGCAATAACTTGAAGAAAACAAATTCAGTTACAATATTTCACAAATTCATAAGAAGTATTTTTGTTTGCAAGAAGTGTAAAAATTGAAACAAAATCTTGACCGTTATCAAATTTTCGTAAAAAAAAATTCGTATTAAAGTTTTTGACACGAGGGTCATAATTTTTAGATTCGGACACTTGGAATTTACAAATAAGATTTAATATGCGATTTGAAATTTCAAGCTCGTTTGTAACATAACACGATTATATGTCGAGCGCNGACACTTGGAATTTACAAATAAGATTTAATATGCGATTTGAAATTTCAAGCTCGTTTGTAACATAACACGATTATATGTCGAGATTGCATAAAATGAGACACATTTTTTATAAATATTTAAATGGGACACATTAAATATGAATTGATTAAACTGAACTTACCCTTCGATTATTCTCGTTGGTCTTTTTTTGAGAGCACACTGTGTCTGAGGACAAGGGCGATCCCTTCGACAGCGGGTCTTCGGCTGTCGCCACTCCGGAAGTCATGATGTCCAATTTTGAATCAGCAACGGTTTTCGGATAACAATAAAATAATAATCCACCGGCGTGCGATTGAAACGAATAATTCGTCGAACAGATTCAACACACTAGAGAGTGTTCTATTATTGTAAACCGCGTCGCGTGGTATACGTGCGACGGCAGCGATAACTATTACGATAACTGTGAGGGCTTCCGTGTCGAGCGATACAACGTCGAGATGATCGCGCGCGCTTCAGCACGGGACGGACACACGTACAGGTGTTGTCTTCGTTTCAATGGTGGGGACCTGTTGCTCGTGACCGTCGCGCGACCAGTCTCCCACCCCGGCCGCGTATTGTGAGCACAGTCAATACACCTAAAATACCACATCAGTGGCGACGGGATGCACTTGCTACGTTTTTCGCGCGCGCAAATATCATATTTGATTATTACGATATTTAACACATTTGTTGTCGATTTTCCAAATACCTCCTGACAACTTGTAGTTGTCAAAACGCAAATATTTATCCAACCCAATGGCTATTTCACAGTTCAAAATCGTTGTCGTTACTGTTTGCTTAGGATTTCCGGTGGCCAATGTGTGTTTGGACAAAGTACAATGTATTCCCTAACAATTACCGATTAGGATTGGTCGAGGACGAATTGCACTTGGTTCCCACAAAGTGTCATTGTTTGTGTTTCGAATTCTCAATGATTGTCCATTCGTTCGAACAGCTATCCTTTTAGTCAAACACCATTGGGGTTTTAGTACTCCTGCTGACTTTAAAACAACTCTACAACTTTTGTTAGCTCTTCAAATGCTTGTCCTTTTGGATACGATAAAAAAGATAATTTCTAATTAAAATTTTCAAACATACTAAAGTACAACAACGTTTTTTTCAATCACATTTACTAATCAATTTTTACGTTTCTTTTTTGTATCTATTTCGAGATATTGCAAATGACAATTTTTATAAACGTATCATAACTAATTCTATATAATCAAGAGGAATCTTTTTCGTTTAGCTTTCAGTAGTTTATAAGTGTTTTCACATCAACACTGTAATGAAATTTAACTATGTAATAAAAATTAAATGATTAATTCGCGTTCACCTTTTATGAATCTTCTGAAAGTTTGCAAATAAAATGTATTATTCTATGATTCTATTTTTTAGCATTTAGTTTTGTCTGCAACAATAATATTTCTATTCGCATGTACAATTCATTAGACTCGTTTACGATCAGAAATATCGGTATTTTAGGCCGTTGAAATAATAATTCCCTCAATATATTGTAGAAATATTTATTTAATTTAAATATCTTTGAACGTTCAAAAATATTATACTTTCGCAGATAATCTAAAATTTTTGTTTAATTACTGAATTGATGACGAAACCAAACGAAACGAAAAATTACCTACTATGGCATCCAAGTACATTTTGTTGACTAGTTATTAGTGTATAGATAACCCAATTGTTGATCTAAAAATATTTTATAATAATTAGGTGCATTTTTTCAATTATAGTTACATATGGCATGTAACTTAATATTAAAAATTATTTTTCGCTCTTGAGATAAGACGCCCTGAATTGTCATTAGTTTATTATGTTTTTTGGAGAATGTCTATATCAAATTAAAAACAATTGAAAGAATAAACGCTTTTTATGTTGTACAAGATATAAGAACATAGTACTATATATCAGCAATTGTCTTGCAAAAGGTGAGCTACAAGCGTATTGATTTTTCTATCTCAGTCAAATTGCCGAAAAATTGCAGATGTAACATTCCTCTACAAATAAATAAATGAAACTATTTCACTTTTTCCTCTTTGTGAACTTTCCATTTCGTGTACCTAAATTTCACTCCCGCATATGTCTAACTTTACATATTACATTACATCTTACTAATTCTACATAAAGAATACTTAAACGAGGTAATACAATTCAATTTGATATTTTTCGAGATAGGGTGTCATAAAATTTATTATTTTTATACTGTGAAATTGTTTTTAATAATTATATCAAATTTCACATCCAAACTGTCATTTAAATTGTATTGTTATCATTTTAGTTTCTATAAAATACTGTAATATCACATTTACCTCCGATTTCTAATAAATAAATAAAAGCCTATTATTTTACTGTACGAGTTCTATTAAAAAAAAGTTATTTTAAATTAAATTACTATTGTTACCGGATAAAAAATGTTTGATTAAGAAAAAAATAGTATATATATTGTGTTACTATGATGAATGCACTTAAATTATTTTTAATTAACATTTCATATTATTTGCAGCTAAGACTTTTCACAAATACTTTAAGGTACTAATAAATTTTAGTTGTTCACTTATGAAAATATATTTTCAGTTTTACAGAATATTGTAGAAATGAAACAATGTGAGTTTTCAAAAAACTGGAGTTATGGTCCACCCGATTTAGCTTTCACACCATGCGGGAGGTCCCTGATGACGGTATATAAATCGTATCTAAAGCAGTAGAGCACCTCATAATTTATGGGGGCCAATTAATTTTTCTTTTCGGTGCTTTGTGCGGCACTAATTTTTACCTAAATAGGTTTGCATGCTGTTTGAATTCGGATGCCTAAAGAACAATTACAGCAACAGCTAATTATTTATAAAATATACGCACAGCGCCATTGTGTCGCCCCGCTGTCGTCTTGAAAATAGTTCCATACGTAGACGACGACAAACGCGTCCCGTGTATTCGACGACGTTTTTGTGCAGCATCTGCGAATCCGCCGCCACCGGTCGCGTGTACGATATTGTGAATGCTAAGGGTCTTCCGCCGAATTTTAACGCGTATAGAAAAATTCAACAGTTAACGAGCCCCAGGGTTCTCAACGTTAACGTGGTACCGTGATACGACCGACGAGGGCTACCAACAGTTTTGAGCACCACCAGTTTTTCATGTAGTCATAGGCGTCCCGAGTAACAAAGACTTGGCTCCGGCTACCTAAACGAGGCGGCGGCGGCGGCAACGAATCCCCAGAGTCGTGACCCGCCGGCAACAGTTTCTTCTTGTATACTCATACTGACATTTATAATACAATAATACTTGTATATACGGCATATTAAAGCGTATTGGCCAACAACAAACGCGTGTAGGGCAAATCCATTATACGATCGTCCGCGCTTCAACGTACCCCTCAAAAAATAATATAAATAAAATACGGGGACCTGATGAAATTACATTATTGTCATACCATTATAGCTGCCGTTGTGTGTATAAAATATTTTGCGGATAACCTCCATTCGGACAATGGGGTTTGGTTACATCTCCGGTTACTGTGCGTGTGTACCGCGGTAAACCATTATGCGCATCCGTCCGAGTGTAAAACCGTCCGTACCGATGTGCGTCCAGACGTGTTAATTCCATATTTCACCATAAATACACACGCACGCATGAAGTGTATACATGGCAGCTGTGCCAACCAAGTGTCTGTGTTATGTATTACGGGCATGTGTTTATATGGGCCACCCTTAATGTGATAAAGTGCCATAGTGTAGTCAGTTATGGTGCACAGGATGCATTTCTGAGAATTCCTTAGGAGCCAACAAACGCCTCCCAACACCCGCAATACCGCCAAAAGTTTTTCGATGGACAAATTGCCCTTTTGAGTTTCTATAACACCTAACTACTTATCTTAACTATAGTCACGGGGGTCAGTCGAGGGGTACACTACGTCCACTCTAATATTATGTTGACTTTTACCTGTAAAAATTATCTACCGCACTAGAACGTTTCAATTATTTTTCGTTCAAATATGGTTATCATTCAGTAATAATCATATTTGGGTGACACTTTTACAAATGTTGTAAAAAAAAAAATAAAAATATCAAATTTCGGTATTCTCTCCATTGAAATGTTTTAATTGCATTGGCCTGTTTAAAAGTTGATAGATCAATAAGAAAATTCAATATAAAACAATTTATAGTCGAAAAAAATTCTGCAAAACAAGTTTTATCGAAAATAATTATTTTTTACAGTAAAAATGAAAAACTAAATATTTTTTATTTGCGCTTGAAAATTACCTTGTTTTAGAATTATTTTTATACCTACCAAACCTTTTACGCTTCTTACACCATTTGAGTTATGCTAAATGGATTGCAAAATCTATAAATGTGTTAGAAATATACTCGTTTCAAGATTAATTTATATCAAATTATGCGGAGAAAAATAACTCAAAGAGAATTCATATTTTTCATATTCGGATGTAAATTCGTTATTTGTTTCAATCGTCAGAAGCAATTAAAGGGCATTGTCATGATTTTACATTTATGTAACAGCTTATAAACTATCAAAATGTTGATTCTGAAATTAGTATGGTAAATTCAAAAAAATATCAAACCATCTTTGTTATATAATTTCTAAGACAGTATGATTCTTTTTTCAATTATTTAATTATTTACTTCTTAGAGTAGTGAATTGAGAATAGATCAAAGCTTGAGGTTTGATTAATATTTAATAATGAATCTATGACAAAAGAAGCAATAGATAAGTTTTCGGGGAATTGCGAGTACAAGATTCTTTTAATTTCAACACCGATAGTAAAAATTCGAATTTTATTTATATCTTAAATAAAACTAAAAATTATTTTATTTATTACTTCAATTAAATTCTATTTTACATATCTTGCGGATAGACTAATCATACATGTATTGAAGTTTTTGTATAGAAATGATAAAAAGATTCAAGTCTCAGAAAAGTGGGGTCATATTTTTTGTTTGAGCTATTTTGGCAAAAATAAACATGATATGATTTACGTTTCATTTCATTACATGTGGAATGATGTATGTTTAAAAAACCTTCTTAGAACTTTCTCCCCTACAATTCAATATGTCTTAATTCACACCTTCTTGCGCCTCATGTTCCGATCTTTATATTAATAATTGTATTAATTAATATTCAAATTAAGTTTCCTCGTTGTTGTATTTTAGGAATCAGTAATAGTTAATAACCTAGTATTTTATAACTATTATTTTCAAAAGATAGTAGCTCAACAAAATATGACTTTGAAACTGACGACAGACTTGTTTTTTTTCCGTGAGTAGAAAACAAAAAAGATACGATCGATGTGTTGTTTTGTTCTACACGAATGATTTGCTTTACCCATCAATTTTGAAACATCAGTCTTTTTTTCACTATGGTAATAGGCGTAACCGTAAGTCTAAGGCATACTAACGCGTTAATGATCACACGAAAAAGGTAGACTGCCGATAATGATTA